TAATGAGGGGAAAAAGTATGCCACTGTTTAATTACCTCCAGCTGTTGAAAGATCATCTCTTTCGCTTTCCAAATAGATTACATCCGCTACCTGTAGCACCTGGCAAAGATCGAATTCACATTTTGGTATTTACTAAATTGCAATGCACTGCTAGAATTATTCAAACAAGCTTAAGTTATAAAAAAAAGCAATTCAGTTATTTTCTTGGCATACCAATTGTGCAAACGTGTTCACTTTCATTCGTTTAAATATTTCATCTTTTCTGTACTTGTAATCTTAAAATATACAAGAATATGAATATCACAAAACTGATGATCTAAAAGAGTGTCTTAGTTTTCAAAAGGTCACATGTAAAGTTTTAAAAAATACACAACATACTTTTTTTAATTTCTTCCCATTTTTCCATATGCTTTGTGATACTGGACCCTACAATTGGGCAAGTGATAATAACTTTTTAATGGCCAAGAAAAATTTGACATAAAACAGCTGCCTCCTTTTGAAGAAAATAATCAATTTCCTAATGGAAAGAAGTCAATCATTTTCTGCCATGACAACTGTTTGGAAAGACAATTTTGTTGTTTGTCTTGAGGTATGTTACTTTACACACAATGATTAATCTGGTCTATTCAGCTTTAAGGAAATGATATTTGAAAAATACATTATCAACATCATCTGATGACATCGTCAACAGACAACATTTGTCATTAACATTCAGCAAAACCGGAAATCAGCCCGATCAGTCGTTGTGTGTAAACGTACCTTTATTTGATTTTAAAATAGGAACCTTGAACTTTTTTATATTAATTTGTTAATGTTCAGGAAAACCTGCTTTGTTGTATGCCTGTTGCTGTATGGCAACTAAGTGTTTTTATCAAAATTGGAACTTATAAAAAAAAATTTTCGCTCAAGTATTTAATATATTTATGTAATACTGTAGTATTTCATTATGATTTTTAACATGATCTGCACCAACAATTCGTACAAATAACTAATTGATAAATTAAATCAACATAACTCTATTAATTCGTTGTCAAATAATTGGACCACAGTATAAACCAACAAGCAACATACACAATGAGTCAATGACAATTTAATACGAGCAAACAGCGCAACAAAACTAAAAACAAACATATCTGTACAACGTAAAACTCAAAACTTTATGGATATTTTAAATATAATTACGATTTCCAAGTGTTTATCGTGTGACATAGTTAAGATTACAGCCTTAAAATCCCTTGAGAAACAACACAAATTAAAACAACAAATTAGGCTAGTAGCCAAGTCAGGTAAGTACCTGTATCAACAGTGTGTTTAATATGCTTATACTTCGGGTTTTCTGGAACTTTCTTGCTGAAGATCTAGGCAATAACATAAATATTAGTTTTATTAAGTTAAAAACAAGACCGCTAGATAAGAAAAGTAAAAACTAACTGAAACATACATCATCTTTCTTTTTGGGCGCTCTTCGAGCCGTCGACATTTTGAATTTTTTTCGCAACAGACTTTGTTTGCACGGTTACCAAGCTGTGTCATGGAAATAACACTGACCTCATTTCAACGTGCAAAACTGGAGTAGTATCCTTCTGAACAACGGCAAGACATTTTTCTAATTTTTTTATAACAGATTTAGTCTGATTTCATGAGCATTTCTTAATACGGGACAACAGGTGATAGTAGCAAACAAATTAAATAACATTTCTCAATCCTATTTATTTGCCAATTTTTACCAAATACAAGACTATTTATATATAAAATTACAAAACCATTATTTTTTTCATTTCGTACCTAGTGAAACCCATCTACATCCGCTGCATCTTCCTATATCTTGGCTTCCAACTAAATAAAACATTTATCTAGATAAGAAACAGTACGTAGTCCATATTATCTGTATAGCTCAGTGGGGTAATCCCCCTTGACGACGGGATATCGAGTATACACCGATCACTTTCCGAACCGAAACGAGCACTTACGATGTTTCTACGACAACTCGGCTTGTAAACAAAGACGACAAATTAAAAAGAATTTTTACAGTAAATATGGGCTTTCTTTATAATGTTTCTAAAAGACTTGTGCTGGTCGGAATTGCTGTACTTATTGGAGTGTATTTGAATTTTCCTGCACCGAATATGTCGGATAGTTTACGACTTTGGGTTCAAAGTGGACAGTTCTTTTTACATGGCGTGGCCGGAAAGGGGGTTAAAATATTCCATAAAGGTTTAGTTTGGTTTTGTATTGTAAACATATTTTGAAAAAGGTTTTGTTTAAGTTCGCATTGTCATTAGTGATCCATACAAAGTAGATTTCAGGGATCCATTGAAGGTTACAAGGTTAGCACTATTTTCCATCCAGCAAACTGACCTGACGTCATTTTCGCAAGATAGAAGAGGTGTTAAATGGCTATGTAACAAACCCTACCCCTACTCTAACCCCTAACCTCAACCCTAACCCTAACCGAATTACTAAAAAAATCCAAAAAGAAACGACTTTACAAAATCGATAGGGTGGTTTGCTGGATGGAAAAAAGTGCTAACCAGGTTACAAATTAAATGGTATTTACTATATATATAGCAGTCAGGGTCTCCACTTCTGCAGCACACAATTTCCCCCCAATCTTGTACCAGAGCAATGCCTGTGCACGGGCTAGGATGGCATTGGCTCTGGGGAAATTGACAACTGGAACCCGTAAATTTAGGGGTTCCGGTTCTTTGTCGGCATGCACGAATGATAAACGTTAAACCTATCACAGCACAGGAAAAATTCAATTTCCCCAGAGCCAATGCCATCCTAACCTGCACACAGGCATTGCTCTGGGTACAAGATTGATTTTCCCCTTATTTTGAAAAAATTTCCAAAAATTTTCCATAAAATTTATTTATGTATAAAATTTATTTAGGGGGGGGGGGGGGGGGGGGGCACCGGCTTTTTCTATTTTCATACATAATCATGCAGGATGCTTATGTACCAAAGTAGCAAAATATGACACAGTATTTGGAGGGGTATTATCTATCGTGGTAAGAAGGACCAGTTTCAGTGCCAGCTGGTGCATGACCTCAGTCTTCTTGAACTTAAATCGTAAAATATCTTTTATTTGTACGAGAAACCACCCCACCCCTTATTACCAAACTTCATACCAACTTTGTGAGCTCTTGCAAGTACTTCAAGTTCATCAAATATTTTAGATGTGAATGGTTATGGTCATAAAAGCAAAGTCTTACTACTCATCCATGGTTTTCCAACAAGTAGTTACGATTGGAATAAGGTATACAGAAATGCAGCCATGTTCTTAAGTCCAGATCAATAATGAGGATTGATTGGTATAATATCAGTCATATCTTCGCTTGCTACTCTGGTTTTAGTAAATAAATGCAAAGCCCAGTCGAATTGCACTCATGACCCAACATTTCAATACTCCAGTCGTGTCTTCATCGGGGGTTATCTGAAGTCACAACATGGCTTCTTATGTACCCATGGGATGACATCATCTGCCAACAAGATGGATATATTCTTGTGTCAATAGGCACAGTCATGCCTATTCAGAGCATCATTACTCATATTTATATGCCACGGTTCTAGGCAACGTCTTTGGCCATGGTGATTGTCAGTGGTATTAAGAACTCTAGAGTTTTGCACGAGAGTTGGTAGTCATGCAACCTTGGTTAGCGGTTCTTGAAAATAATTAAGACACTTCGACTTTCAGAGTGAATGCTCTTGTTTGAATTAGACTTTAGATTGTTTAATGGTAGTTCTTCGCCTGAAAGGTGACTGTAATGAATTAATTTTTAAGGTGTGGGAGCCACTAAGAGAGAAATTCGGTCGTGTGGTTACTGCTGATATGGCAGGTTTTGGATTTAGTGATAAACCTGTAAGTGATATCATAAAATAAAGAAAATTATATATCATCGATGATTTATCAATATTATGTAATCAATGATGTGATCAATACATTCATTACATAATCAATTATTATCGTTATGTTTTTTAATTGGTTGAACCATAAATCATTGCCTGGAATTTTAGAAAGAGACCAACTATACAATAAAACTCCAAGCTGATATGTTTGAGGATTTGTTGACTTCCCTAAACGTGAAAGAAGTGAATATACTGGCTCATGACCTGGGACTCACTGTTGCGTTGGAACTGCTGGCAAGGCAAGTGAATCTCTCAAGAATGAATGGAAAACGAAAACCAACAAACTTAAGATTTTTTATACTTTTAGTTTTATCCTGTACACTTAAATTACTCTAACTGATGTTTTTTTAACTCCAAATTGACGCAGATACGAAGAGAGAAAGAAAAATAAATTAACACACGAAGGAGTAAATATAATTAGCCTGTGTTTAACCAACGGAGGTAAAGATCTTTTGACGATTAAACTGCTATTAACCGTTAACAACCACTGCGCCGGAATCGCAGAGCTGCAGATTCGATTCCTGCCAGAGGACTATAGTTGCATTTTTTGCCAAAGATCCTGGTTAGGTCTAAAAGTGTATAGAAAGTTACGTTCAAAAATTCCATATACAAAAACCCATCTACTGTTAATAACTATTAAAAACTCGTGACTTAATAACTAGTAAAAAACTAATTCATGAAGAAAACACAAAATAAATCATGGGCGTGAAGGAGTCTGTATATGTGATATAGATTCATGTTGATTTACGTCAAACATTAACTTTGATTTTCTCGGCTTAGACAACGTTTATTTTTAAAATTACTTCGCCAATGAACTCATAAGTCGTTTGTATATCCGATACAACACGGCCGCTCATGTTGTAAATAGTACTTACAGTTTTTGTGTGTGTTGGTGTTATCATGTGGTGTTATGTATTATCACAAACAGTGTAATCTAATCAATTTTAGGTCTCTTTCCTGGCCATTACTTTCCAAGATTTATACAGAAGGTATATTTGCACTGCCACTGGAATCATGGTTATTGGTTACACATTAAATGTAACAATTTGTAACAACTAGTATACAACGCTTTTTAGACAAAATCTAATTATTTTTCTATAGTTACTTTTGTACCCATGGATTGGCTCTCTGGCTTCGCGTCTTGGCAACCGTTACATTTTTGCTAAAAGGTCAGCGATTGGAGGAATTTTGGCAGACAACCCCATGGCCTCCTTCCCGCAAAAAATATTGTTTGGTAATTCCTGTTTCCCGACCGGCTCTATCTCATGACACACGACCCTATTTTTTAAAACCATTTTGGCGGAAAAAATTCGAAAATCATTTCCAGATTCTAGTATTCATCAAAATTCGCGTGTGTTTTGCTACACAGAACAAGACAGACCCCTCTTTTTGCACCAAATTTTATAATATACTGAACGAGAACTTCTATTTCAATAAAATTTTTTTTAAAAAACCCGAAATCCGACCCTACTTTTTGAAGCGTGAAACCGAATCCAATTATAGACATAAAACTTGTTTCGTAAGCAGCTTTAGCTTTTATTTCAACTAGCTTGTTTTCTATTTGTTTCCATGTTTAGTTTCTCTGAGGTGTTTGGACCTGAAACACAGCCAACTCCAGAAGAGTTGAACGATCATTTTGTTGGAATAAGATACAAGGATGGCAATATTTTACATCCAAAGTAAGTTCTCAGCACAGAACTCAGAGGAGTTGGCAATAGTTCTTACCTAGGATGACATCTCGTATGTCAAGTTTTTCAAACAAAAAAAAAACAACTCTTGGTAAATCATATGAAATGGCATTTTCTTTTCCTCAGCATTTTAGGTTATATAAAGGAGAGACAAGTATACCGGGACAGGTGGGTTGGCAGCCTTCAGAAAACTGTCATTCCAGGTAACTGCAGTCATACTATACTCTATGGTTTCGGATTTTTTCAGACGATCTCAAAATGATTTATTTATCATGACGATTTATTTTTTATTTTTCAGCGCATTTTATCTACGGTCCAGCTGATCCCGTTAATCCTCCAATATTTGTGGAAAGATTCAAGTACGTCCAAGTTAACTCAATTATATAATTTAAATGCTGGGTTACTTTTCTCCCATTCTATGCTTACATAATTTTTCTTACATTATCAACTGACTCGTACCCAGTCCCTGAGAATTGAAAACATAATGGTGCATGATGGGAATGAACAAAACATGCACCACACTACTCAGATATCTGTATATGTACTTATTGATGACTGTGTAAGAGTCTTATCAAAAACAGTGGTAACTAGCCACGCGATTTCGCTGAAAATGTCAATTGGATGGCAACAGATAGATGATTAAGCCTATTTTGGACAACAGTTTTTGGCCTAGAGCCTGGCTGCTTAGCCTGTTTTCTTATTTTTCTTCTCATTTTATCTAGGGAGTTAATACCCCAACATGGTATAACCGTTCTAGAGAACAATATTGGTCATTACCCTCAGCTGGAAGATCCAATCCAATTCATGTTAGCTTACACCAAGTTTCTGTACTCGTTTTAAGTGGGCATAAAATAGACCGATTTGGTGGTCATTTAAAAAATGCAAAATCTACATCGATCTAGTCAGCACGCCTTAGGTGGTATGAAAATTACCATTAAAGAATCACAATGAAAAACTTTTGATATGGAAACTACCATTGAAGAATCACAATGAAAAACTACAGGCACGATTTCTACTAGAGACATGTCGACCGCGTCTGAACGGCGCTGGTTGATTGAAAGCAGATAAGCGCTTAACCCTGGGTTAACCTAAAATTCAAAGCAAACTTCCCGACAAGTTGTTTATAAATTTGGAAATATTTCTTTAGAAATCTTGTCTGGATCAATAGGAGTTTTCTTCGCTGAAGTTTTGAAATAAACAGACCCGCAGAAATACATAAACTACAACAGCAGGTTAAATTTTAACCCAGGTTTAGCCTATCTAGCTTTGAACAACCAGGCCCTGGTGTTAATTTGTCTGTGCATAAACATGACAAACAGACGCCTGTCTGTTTGCGTAGTTCTAGAACTTAGAAATAGAAAAGGGACATTTTTGAAAATGAACTATTTAATATGAATCAATACGTTTAAGGTGAAAATATATTACATAATAATTTTATCATAATATATTCTTTATCTGTTAATCATTTGTTTTCTACAATATCCTAGTATATACTTTGAAATATTCTTCATAAAAAATTTGAAGAGCTAAGTCAGCTAACTGAATTTAAAACACGTCCGATAATCGCCTAACTAGAACAAGTACTTGTCTATTGTTAATCCATTGCAAGTTAATGTTTTGGCAATGGAAATTCCGGGAAAAGCACATGTGAAAATTGAAACCACACAACGGACTTACTTTTCCATCATAATGGCTTCGCAGTCCTTAAAATATTCCTGGATTCCAGTTCTCTTGACAAAATTTCTACTTTCTGAAATCTTCGTGACTTTCCATGAATTCTTCATAACTCTCTCTCTATTCCCCTCTATCTTCGGTCAGTAATCAGCTCCCAAGCGTGATTCTTGAAAACTTTCTTTAGTCTGCATAATCTTGTGTCAGCAACAGGCAGCTTCACGCTTCTCTTTATCCTTCAATATGTTTCGTTTAAGTCTGATCAACACGGCCACGGAGCTTGGTGTGTTGATCTTGTAGCCGAATAACGATGTCGTCGTTCCACTACACATATAAGAAAGAGTCGTGAGTTTCGCATTCAATGATTAAAGTCGGTGAAAATGAATGAACTGAAATTCTTTACTTGAGGTACACAAGTAAAAATCTCACAACTTGTCGACGATGTGTTCGACAGGCTTGTAGCAAGCTTGTCAACAAGTTGTAACAATGCTGTTATTTTATCAAGTTGCTACAAGGTTGTCACTCACAAACTGTTGAATTGCAGGACGATAACAAGTTGTTGGAACAACTTGTAACAAGTATGTGGAGCTCAACAACCTTGTAGCAAGTGGCAAAAAGCCGTTAACAATTTGTCAACAAGATGTGTTCGCAAGAGGCTTGTAGCAAGCTTGTCAACAAGTTGTAACAATGCTGTTATTTTATCAAGTTGCTACAAGGTTGCCACTCACAACTTGTTGAATTACTGAGGCCGGTTGTATAAAAAAGTGATTAAAGTTAACTATAGTTAGTGGAAATGTCATCCAATAAGAAGCGCGTATTTGAGAGTTAATCACTATTTAACTACAAAATAGTGATTAAAAAAGTGATTAAAAGTTTTATACAACCGGCCCCAGGACGAGAACAAGTTGTTGGAACAACTTGTAACAAGTATGTGGAGCTCAACAACCTTGTAGCAACATTTACCGGGAATGTACATTCTATGTGACCATATATACGACTTACCAATTAATAAAATCAATTGCAGCTCGTTGACAAGGGTTAGTGCTGGGACCCAGTTCTTCATAAGATTTCACATTCATATATTCATTCAGACATTTCAACAAATCGTTCTTTCTTTGTAGTTGTAACTGTTTAAAATCTGGAAAGTACATTTTATAATTAGAACGAAGCTTAAAAGCTTTGAATGAACTCGCAATTCTGATCAACTTTGAACTGGTTCAACTTTTAATGAGAGTTTATGAGCGTTTTCGCTGCGTACACGGTAATATCCAGTCAACTATTTTTCTCGTTTGACCGGGCATGAGAGTTGAGATAAACTCTCATGCAAACTCTCGCTTCTCAACTCTCACCAACTCTCATGCAACTCTTTTTCTCGTTTGACCGGGGCACGAGAGTTGAGAGATAAACTCTCATGCAAACTCTCGCTTCTCAACTCTCACCAACTTTCATGCAACTCTTGTTCTCGTTTGACTGGGGCACGAGAGTTGAGAAAACTCTCATAGTCTCATCAACTCTCATGAAACTTCTGTTCTCGTTTGACCAGGACACGAGAGTTGAGAAAACTCTCACTTCTCAACTCTCATCAACTCTCATGCAACTCTTTTTCTCGTTTCACCGGGGCATGAGAGTTGAGAGATAAACTCTCATGCAAACTCTCGCTTCTCAACTCTCACCAACTTTCATGCAACTCTTGTTCTCGTTTGATTGGGGCATGAGAGTTGAGAAAACTCTCATGCAAACTCTCGCTTCTCAACTCTCATCAACTCTCATGCAACTCTTGAGTTGAGAAAACTCTCATGCAAACTTCGCTTCTCAACTCTCACCAACTCTCATGCAACTCTTGTTCTCGTTTGATCGGGGCATGAGAGTTGAGAAAACTCTCATAGTCTCATCAACTCTCGTGAAACTTCTGTTCTCGTTTGACCAGGACACGAGAGTTGAGAAAACTCTCACTTCTCAACTCTCATCAACTCTCATGCAAACTCTTGCTTCTCAACTCTCATGCTCGTTTGACCAGGGCAGGCAAGGCTTGCAAGAACCAATCAGTGATGTAAATGTTGGAATCTTGCACCCTTGTTCTCTAAGTGAGCCACGCCCTTGTAGATGAAGTCCTGCGCGAATTGACTTATCATTGGATCCTTGTCACCTGGAAATAAATGGTAGAAATGTAAGGCCATCTTCATAATAGTCGTAAATTATCTAGTGATCGTATATCCCTGGGCAAATTAGGAAACATTGTTGTGGAAACATTTGTGATTCTCGATGTTTCCTCAAATGTTTCCATGTTTGCCCACCCGTGGAAACATTGTTGCGGAAACAAAATTTGCTTCCCGGGAAGCAAAAATGTTTCCTAGCGAATTCAGAAACATTTGATGTTTGCCTATGTTCCTCACTAATGTTTCCTAGTGTTTGCCCACTCTGGGAAACACGGCGAAACATTGGCAGTAAACAATGTTTCCGCAACAATGTTTCCTAGTTTGCCCAGGGCTTATCTCAAACGTGGGGTCCAGTGGAGGTAAGTCTTCTATTCTCAATCGAGTTTCTTGTCTGTTCTTGCATGAAATCAACCACTTGGCTGCATCCTCAGCCTGTTGCAACACATCTGGGTGGGTGGGAGGACTACCTACAAAGGGCATGCATCGGAAGTCGACGACCGAGATATCCTCGTATGAACTACACTGACTGTTCCAACCTCTGCTTCAGGCCGTCTTTTCCACCGTATTTTGCCCGAGCTATTGTGGTGAGATCTGAGACAAGGAACTCGTAAGATTCGCTGTCGATCATTTTTAAATCTTTATCTGTTAAACTAAACTGTTCCTACAACAGCATAGAATAAAAGGTTTTAATTCACACTCGAGATTTTCATCTACACAAAGTCTTCTATAATTAGTTATATTGAGTGTAGATACCCAAAATACTGATCGGTATCTAAACTACCTCAAAAATTAAGTTTGAAAAACATGGATATTTTGAAAGAGTGCATGCATGAGTAAAACGCAGTTATTAGGTCTGTATTTGCGTTTTGATAGATTATATTAAATTTAATATTCTCATTTATGGAATATTCTCATTTATGAAAAACATGGATATTTTGAAAGGTGCATGCATGAGTAAAACGCAGTTATTGGGTCTGCATTTGCCTTTTGATAAATTATATTAAATTTAATATTCTCATTTATGAAAAACATGGATATTTTGAAAGGGTGCATGCATGAGTAAAACGCAGTTATTGGGTCTGCATTTGCCTTTTGATAAATTATATTAAATTTAATATTCTCATTTATGAAAAACATGGATATTTTGAAAGGGTGCATGCATGAGTAAAACGCAGTTATTGGGTCTGCATTTGCCTTTTCATAAATTATATTAAATTTAATATTCTCATTTATGGAAAAACATGGATATTTTGAAAGGGTGCATGCATGAGTAAAACGCAGTTATTGGGTCTGCATTTGCCTTTTGATAGATTATATTAAATTTAATATTCTCATTTATGGAAAAACATGGATATTTTGAAAGGGTGCATGCATGAGTAAAACGCAGTTATTGGGTCTGCATTTGCCTTTTGATAAATTATATTAAATTTAATATTCTCATTTATGAAAAACATGGATATTTTGAAAGGATGCATGCATGAGTTCTCTCGTTTGACCGGGGCATGAG